TCCTGTCTGAATGTCCCGCGTACAAAATATAATACCGTATGTGGTCTGTGAAGTTGCTGTTCTTCGATACCTAAAAGGCAATGTGTTGAAGAAAATAGGAGCCGCGGCCGGGTTTAGAAGTCATACGGGTCAGTTGTCACAAAACTTATACCTCACGTAATAAATGGAGCAGCATATTCTTCTCTGAAATATAGGTTGTTTATATCATGTTATTGGGTATATAAAATAGCTTATTATAGAAACATAACAAGTGATATTTACAAACATTTTTTCAAAATTAAACACGATGAGTAAAGTTTTTTTGTCTATATTTGTATCGATTCGTTGGTTTTGAAATTTCTGCTCGCAATCTCTTTTTATGTCTCTTTATCTCTTTATCTCTTTTTATTTGTAAGAAATTTTATGAGTTTAGCTAATTTTTCCTATGTGTGTGTATGTATGCATTTAATTAACAGTTACTGCGCAACATAATTTATAAATATAAACTCTTTTATTCCTTAAATAATCCTCTAGATTAAGATGATCCGGGTTATTAGTTATCACGCGTAGCTGTCACGTAGCTATACTACGTGACTTATGTAAAAACATAGAAGCATACGCAATTATGTATTATGTTATACATATCACAATAGTGAGTTTGCATCAGGTCCGATAAACAGAGTTATAGTCTTAAAGTTATTATTATTATTATTACAAAGTTTATAAGGACTATTATCTTTTCAATTATCAATTCAATGATTGTACATATTTTGCCTGACTATAAGACATCACTAAGTTTAATAAAATATTTAAAATCTTAAAACAAAAATAATTTGTTTTGTTTCTTTCACATAAAATATATGTGACAACTAATCCCATGTATAAGATAGATAGTCAAATTTGCATGAGTTTGCTCATGTCTTAATAACTTTTTAATATATAAATATATATATAAGGATAAAATATTTTCTTTCTTTCATCTAAAGATTAGACTTGTATGAAAATGTGTATGATATTAAAAAAATATTGTATATTTTTTTCTTAATCAGTATATAAAAAGTAAATAAGACAACGAGACCCGATTTTTCCAACACACATTTCGAAATAATATTTCCTCCGCATTATTCCATTATTACGCAAATTACGCATTTTAACTTATACTCACAACACTGTACATTTAACGCTAAAGGTTCCTATCCGAATTTCATCTCACGTTTACGTTAGATATATTATTCATATCGAACAAATAAAGCTCAGAATCAGAAGATACTATTTTGTACAAATATGATATTTTCGTGGTAGGAACTGTTCTCTTGAAGAAAAAAATATATAAAGTTAACTAGAAATATGATTTCTTATATAACTTTTCTGTTAAGAGAAAAATATCAATATTAAATTCAATATGAAGAAAAAGAAAGAATCTATTATTAAAAAGAATACAAATTATATATATGTAATAATGTATAATGTTTTGTGTAATATGAAATATCTCGGGATACATTTAATTTAAAATTATATTTATATATAATAAAATTACAACGTTTCGATAATGCAAATATATTTAAACCGATACGACTTTACGTTTCTCGAATTCTTGGAAATATAAACTTTTTTCACCTCTCTCAAGCTAGCAGGACCAAATGAGCAGAATCGAATGGGACCTATTTTTTAATGTTTATTTTGTACTATTTTGTACCATAAAAATGATAGTATTGATTTTGTACTATAATGATAGATTTAAATCTATCGTTTTCTGTCCGTTTTTACCAGTTTTTATTTTGTTTTCTTTATACTAAGTCAGCAGGACCACAATATTTTTTTAAATAAAACGAGGTACAAAATCATTTTTGATAATACAAAATACTGCACGATTAATGTAATTTTGTACCATTAAAAACAATTTTGTATTCTGTATCCTTTAATAGAAATCGTGATCCTACTGACTTAATATAAAGTCAGCAAAATAAAAATTGTTAAAAAAACGAAACAAATAGTAGATTTTGTCGTTTCAGAATTTGTACCAATTTGTACCATCAAAAATATTTCTGCCGACCCTTTAAAATAACCTCAACTTTGACCTCAGCTTCAAGAATAAAGTTTTCTGCTTGGATTATTAATAATTAAATCAGTAAAATCAAATCAAATTTATTGCATTTTTCAGTATTTATTGTGTAGTATTTTGTACCATTAAAAATGATTTCGTACCTTGTTTTATTTATATAAAATTA